AATTCCTCAGCCATTCGGCTTCCTCGCTAGTTTTGTCTTAGGCGATGAACTCCGATTTCATTGTGGATTGTGTAATGCACGTCTGTTTTGTGGATTTCCACGAAACAACTCTTCCTCCAATTGTAAATATATATCCACTTGTAAACAGTGAGTCTTTTGCATCGGATATCCAATTGGCATCGTAATACCCTTCTAGTACCAATGGATATTTTGCGTAGTGTATGCCAAAATTCAGAGTAAACTTAAGATAACTTAAGACTCTTACTAACGTTTTCCAATGTTCATGGCTGTAGTTGCTAGTTTATCGACTTAGCTTTTTTAAAGGGCAAGTAAGGTCAGGCCTTGTACAGTTTTTTAATTACATTAGGTTTCCAATAATTTTGGCATACTCTTCTTGAGCTACATGATCTCCTATATTCTTGCTCAAGTGTACACTAAGTTTCATTAGGGGTTTCACTTGAGTGTTGTCGTAGGCATTGAATGTTCTCAATATCTTTACCACATAGTGGGAAAGAGTTAGAAAAATACCTTCGTTTTGTGTTAGAATCTTCATTCCAAAGATGACCTCGGCTAACCCCAAATCTTTCATGTCGAAGTTACGGCTCAACATGCGTTTAACCTCATTGATCAGACTGACCTCTTTAGCCATGATCAGTAAGTCATCTACATATAGACAAATTATGATAAAACCAGAAGATGTTTCTTTGATGTAGACATACTTGTCACACTCGTTTACTTTAAAATCATTTGATAACACGACATTATCAAATCATAAGTGTCATCGTAAAGGTGTCTATTTCAGTACGTACAAATACTTTAATAGTTTGCACACCCTTTTCTCTTGGCCAGGAACGATTTATCCTTAAGGTTGTTTCATATATATATATCTCTTCTTCTAATTCACCATTTTAGAAAAACAGTATTTACATCCATTTGGTAAATCTTAAGATTTTTCAAATACGCAATCGAAAGAAGTACTCGAATGGATGTTATCCTGGTTACTCGTAAATATGTGTCAAAGAAATCAAACCCTTCAATTTGTCTATAGACTTTTACTACAAGATGAGCTTTGTATTTGTCAATAGACCCATCAGCCTTGAGTTTCTTTTTCAAGATCCATTTGCACTTTAGTTGTTTACAACCTTCGAGTAGGTTAGATAACACCTATATGTTATTCTGCATTATTAAGTCTATTTCACTATGTAATCTTTCCTTTCTAGAAAGGAGCATCAGGACTAGATAGTGCTTTCCTTAATCGTTGTTGGATAATTGTCCAACATATACGTAATGAAATCCGGACCAAAGGTTTTCTCGACCCTTGTCCTTTTGTTACGCCTAAGTTTTGAAACCTCTTTATCAGAGCTACTAGTCATTTGTCTCTTCACACCCCATAGTTCTTCATCTACGGATTTTAGATTGAACTGAATCATTTCCTTACAAGGGTAGATATTTTCAACGAATATGACATTCCTTGATTCTATCGTAGTTCCCTCGTTCATCTCAGTATTTTCGATTTGTGAAATATGAGATGATATGCACTACTGTTTAATGCGTATCCAATAAATATGTAATCTACTATTTTTGGGCCGATAGTGATTTGCTTTGGAGGCGGAACTTCAACTTTTACTAGGCACCCCCACACTTTGAAGTATTTGTATATGGGTTTCTTGTTTTTCCATAGTTCGTATGGAGTAGCATCCTTACCCTTATATGGAATCTTGTTCAGAATATAATTTGCAGTAAGTATTGCCTCCCCCCACAAGTTTTGAGCGAGTCCTGAACTTATCAACAAGGCATTCATCATTTTCTTAGGTGTTCAATTTTTGCGTTATGCAACGCCGTTTGATTGAAGTGAATATGAAACTGTTTTTTAATGAATTATGCCACTTTCTTTACATAATTCTTCGAACGGGGCCACATACTCGCCACCTCTATCACTTTGAATTGTCTTAATTTTACAATCAAGTTGATTTATGTCTCATTTTTTAAGTTCTTAAAGACCTCAATTGCTTCGTTTTTTTCCCGTAATAGGTAAAGATAGCAATACTTTTTGCAGTCATCGATAAAGGTGATGAAATATTTATATCTACCTCTAGTTTGCACAAATTTTAAAGCAGACACATCAGTATGAATGAATTATAATGGCTTAGTCTTCATTTCGACAGAAGAGAAGGGTAATTTTGTCATTTTTGCCTCCACGCAAACTTAACATTTGTTCTGAGTGTTCACCTCTTTTATATTTAGTAAATTCATATTTACTAATATTTTATAGCATTTAGGTTTACATGATCTAATCTACAATTCCATGAATCAGAACACTCGATCAAGTACAAAGAAGAAACAACTTGTTCATTATCAGTAGGTGGTGCTCGGCACACGGCCATTACATTCACAACTTAAACAACTCATTTGTAAGATAACCCCTAGCTAGGAACATCTCGTTTTTTGATAATACAAATTTATCTGCTACAAGAACAAGTTTAAAACCATGCCTAACTAGTAATGATCCTAAGACGAGATTTTTCTGAATGTTTGGCATGTGCAGGACATCCTTCAGGGTTAGCTCTTTGCTAGAGGTCATCTTCAGCATCACGTTCCTCACGTCTTAGACCTCAGAAGTTGTGTTATTTCCCATTTGCAGCTTCCTCCCTTCAGTCTCCTTGCAGGTTGAGAAGTTTGTTTTGTCGGAGCAAACATGGTAGGTTGCTCCGGTATCGATATACCAGACTATTAAACTTTCATATTCTCTCTTTTGTACACAACAACGAAAAGGTGGTCACTATTGAGGTCACAATCAATCTAGTGGCTCGTCTTGACCAGCTGAGAACTCGGCTTCTTTTTTTTGGTGTCTTACAATCCATAACCTAGTGTCTTATTTTACCATAATTAAAGAAGTTACCTATAAACTTGGATTGTTTGGTCTTGCCCTTGTTTGTTTGAGTCGGGCATGCATGTTTGTTGTTTCTTGTTGCCCTCCTCTATCTCACTTGTTTTAGCTCATACTTCAGCCTGTGCTTGAAGTTGCTCCAACTCGGGGACAATTTCTCGATCATCACACTCATGATGAACTTTTCTGACAGTGGCATCTCATCGTTGATAACATAGTGGACAATATGTTGAAATTCTTCAACTTGTTCAACGAAAGACTTGCCATCTACCATTTTATAATCCATAAACCGGGCCACAACAAATATTTTGGACCAAGCATTCTCAGACTTATGTTTTTTCTCCAAAGCATCCCACAGCCCTTTTGTACTCTTTATTTTGTAATATACATTATAAAGAGAGCTAGAGAGACTAAATAGTATGTTGTTCCTTTTTATGTAGTCTCTACGTGCCCACGATGCATAATTCGTATGTGTCTGTTGATCCACATCAGGCTCTGGGGTTGTTGGACCATCGTGCAACACGAATATGGTAAACCCAATCAAGGTCAAGTAGAAAAGCATCTTTTTCTACCACCTCTTGAAGTCCACCCCATTAAATGGTTGTGAGACTAGTACGCAGGGCATCATTCGTGGGCCAAACTTAAGACCAGCAGTTTGGGCCGCAAAGGCAGATGATACGGCCACAAACACAAGAAAGCCTCTACATCCATCTGGGGAAAATCCAAAAAACACAGGGCTACCCATAAAGGAAACCGGCCCAATTGGGGGAGTAGCAATTCCGGCGGAAGCTCCGACAACTCCTCTGGCGGTGGCTCTGGCGATTCCTCTGGCGGCGGTTCCTACGACTTCAGCAGGGGTTGATATTCTCGCAAAGTAATATCTAATTTTATATTGTTAGCTAAATGGGTATTGTGATAAGTAAATGTACCGCGAAATCGGGTCGAGGATGCATCATCTTTCTGAAAATTAGATACGCCCCGGTAGTGCCTCTGGTGGTTGGCGTTCTAACCCAAAGATAAAATGGTTTCGGTCTCCGATGATAGTGGCACCTCAGATTGTCGGAGCTCTGGCGAACAAATCGAGGGAGGAACTGAGCTGGGGAGGTTTTTGAAAAATTAGAAGATAGGAGAGAATGAGGAGAAAATATTGTTGGTCTATTTAGAATGAATGGGGAAGCCCTTTGTATAGGCGTCTCCACTCGGCCAAAATGACAGGGGATCAATTACGATTATAATTACGACCTTAATTACCGATGTAATTTATTCTAATTTCAAACATTCCGTTTGAGGTGGTCGCAATTGATTCTAATTACAAAATTTCTGTTTGAGACGATCGTAATTTATTCTATTTCAAACCTTCTTTTTGAAACCATTGTAATTTATTCTAATTTAAAATTTTTCGTTTGAGATTATAATAAATTCATCCAATGGATAATATTTTATCCACTTTATCCACATAATACTGCTGACTTAAGCCATATAATCGGATTTAGCTTACAACTGCACAATTAAATTTGTCTCGAATCAAAATAGTCGAAATATTAACCAAGCCTTATATACAATAAATAAATAATTTCTGCAAATTAATCTAATTAATTTGTGTCACCGCCGTCCCATTTTCCCTCGCACCAATTAATCGATTTGCGTAAATAAGCTATAATCCAACAACTCTAGACCGGCAAGTCTGTCTGAATGTGGCGCCAATGACAGCTTCAATTCAATCAGCAGCTTCTTTTAGAAACATATGGTATGATATGAGCTTGGCTTTCTATTTGGAGAATAGGACCAGCACCATGCTTTCATGAACACGGGGATGGGGACGGGGATGGGTCCTCCCTCCCTCTAGAGACACATTTTGTATACAATATAATCAAAATCCTACTTTAGATGGGGAATCTTATTCCGATGGATACTCATAATGGGGAAGCGTTGCCTTCAATTCGGGAATATTTCCATGGGAAGTTTAAGTTAATTCTCGAAAGGTGAACAATTCCTTTCTTTCCTTGAGACTTAATTGCTCCATGATTCCTTTCCTGTCCCTCCCAGTTATTCTCATCGGAATTCAATTTGACGTAAAATGGACTGGTGGTGGATGTCTCTGAACTGAAACCTATACATACATATATATATATATATTGCTGGTTTAGCTACTCTGTATTGCTTTTAATTACATTGATTTTTTGGTCACTGGGTTTCAATGGCAAGTAGTGATTACGTGAAGGAGATTGAGAGGACGCGCAGGCATCTTAGAGCCCTCATCTCTTCCAAGAATTGCGCCCCAATCATGCTCCGCTTGGCGTAAGTGTTAAATGAATTTACCTGTAATTTCAGCTCATACATAGGTAGATGTATTCTTTTAGAAAGAATTCAATAAATCTTTACACGATCAATAACATTTTTATGAATGGACTATGGAATATAATCTCTTCCTCTTCGAATGCACACTCCTTGTGTTTCATATGGTGTTTTTGTTATGGGTATAATCTGTTTAAATTGATCCAATAACAGCGATTTTGCAATACTTTGAAGTTTGAACAAGTCTGCAATGTTTCTGCAAACTTTCAATATGCTAGAATATAGTTGATATGAAGAGTTTGAGTTTGATTAACTTGAATGTTGGCGGATTCTTGTAGATGGCATGATGCTGGCACTTACGATGCAAAAACAAAGACAGGAGGTCCCAATGGATCGATCCGAAATGAGGTTGAGTACATGCATGCTGCAAACAATGGCATCAAAATTGCAATTGATCTTTGTGGTAAGTGCAAATCCTGTTTGTTATTTTGGTGAATCCCCACATCTAAGTTAAGTTTCACTTCAATCGTTTATGTTTGTTCATGTATAAATTTCAAATCTTTTTTTTTTATGACAGAGGAAATTAAACTGAAGCACCCAAAAATAACATACGCGGATCTTTACCAGGTATGAACTCCTCCTGATTGTAATTTTCAAGATAAGCCCTCATGATCGACATTAGTGGCTAATTTTATCCTTTCCTATTTCCAGCTTGCCGGAGTTGTTGCAGTTGAGCTGACCGGAGGACCTACCATCGATTTTGCACCTGGAAGAAAGGTAAGACATTATTTGGTTTCCTTTTCCTTACAAGATTTCGTGGTCCTGTCTGTCTGGAATCACTTCAATGAAAAGAATCTATTTGTTTAGGATTCTGCGGTCTCCCCCGAAGAAGGTCGCCTTCCTGATGCCAATGGAGGTTTGGTATAAAATGTATTGGTTGTTGCATTGCATCACATCACTTAATAACTTTTTGTTATGTCATTTCTCGCATACTTAACGCAGATGCTTTGCACCTGAGGGATGTCTTCTACCGGATGGGACTTACCGACAAAGACATTGTCGCACTCTCTGGAGGCCATACTTTGGTATTGTCTCACTACTCACGTTCTTACAATAAAGAGCTCAAGTGAAGTGAAGTGACATGACAATGCTTGCCAATTCTACGGCAGGGAAAAGCCCATCGCGAACGATCAGGATTTGAAGGCACTTGGACTAAGGAGCCTCTCAAATTCGACAATTCTTATTTTGTGTAAGATATCTATTTTACACTACAAATTTTGTTTCTTATCAATTTACTTACAGAAACAATACGAGTTCCAAAACTGTATGAATTCGCTCGCTTATTACAAAACAGGGAGATTCTCAAAGGAGATTCAGGGGGCCTGTTGAAATTGCCAACTGATAAAGCTCTTGTGAAGGATCCAGAATTTCGCAAATACGTCGACATCTATGCTAAGGTAACAATGGAATGATTAATGCCGATAGCTTTTCTCAGATAAATCAATCGATGTGTAATTTATTCATGAGGATTTATGATATGCAAACCAGAAACTTTTCTCCTTTGGCAGGACGAAGAAGAGTTCTTTAGAGATTACGCTGTATCACACAAGAAATTGTCGGAGCTGGGATTCGTTCCGCCGTCAGCTGTGAAGCTGGCGTTGAAGAAAACAGTAATGGCGATAGGTGTTGCTGCAGCAGTGGTGATTCTCAGTTACTTTCATGAAATTACATATAAACACAAGTCTGAGTAGTTTGAATGTATATACAATATGTGTATGATTATGTGAAAGTTTGTGTAATTACATTATGTGTGCTATATATGTAATTGTACATTTGGTTCCGTGCATCACTAATAAAATACATCAACTGAATCCCATAGGAAAACAATAGTAATAACACTAATGGATGTATTTTTTAAAGTCGGAAAGAACAAAGCTTGGAAGCTGGATAAAATATTTAATGTAAAAACTATTTGGATGAATATATAGTTGAGAATAAATGCACAAAATTAAATTTAAATATGCTGTTATATAATAATCAATATATATTGGTAAGTAAATATATATATATAAATGGTGGGTGTGTGAATATGAAAATGTATAATATTAATGATAAATATATATAATAAATATGTATTTATTATGCGTGAGTGAAAGTGAGTAGAGAGAGGGGACGGGTAAGGACAAGGATACAGTATTAATGCAAATGTAAGATACATTTTTATTTCGTAAACTCACAACATATATATAGGCATACAATTAATGCTTGAGTGAGTATAAATGCATCCACGTTTACAAAGCGTACGAATTATGTGTTTATTACAAAACGCTACGTGTATATTTCGTAACACTCTCCCTTGAATGCTTTTATACAAAAAATGTGCCTCGTTAAAACCTTATTATGAAAAAACCCTGTGGGAAAAAATCATAGTGAAGGAAAAAGAGTACATCATTCTTGTATTAATGCGCTCCCCCTGTTTTGGACTTTATTTGATGTCTTTCATCCGACGCATTCTAATTCCTTGCACCAGTTTGTTGAATATTGCAGTCGGTAGCGCCTTCGTGAATAAATTTGCAAAATTTTCAGACGATCGAATTTGTTGCACATTAATTTCACCACTTTTTTTAAGATCGTGAGTGAAAAAGAACTTCGGAGATATATGCTTTGTCCGATCGCCTTTAATATACTCTCCTTTTAATTGAGCTATACAAGCTGCATTATCTTCAAATAATATTGTAGGAGGTAATATATCATCGGTAATTAAGCCACAATTTTTCTGAATATGGTGAGTCATGGACCTCAACCAAACGCATTCACGGCTGGCTTCGTGAATTGCTAAAACCTCAGCATGGTTTGAAGAAGTAGCTGTTATCGTCTGTTTAGCAGATCTCCAAGAGATCGCCGTTCCACCACAAGTAAACAAATAGCCAGTTTGAGATTTTGCTTTGTGTAGATCAGAAAGATAACCAGCATCAGCATAACCAATTAATTCATTTCGAGATTCACTCGAATAAAATAAACCGAGGTCATGAGTCCCCTGGAGGTAACGAAAAATGTGCTTGATACCATTCCAATGGCGCTTTGTGGGGGATGCGTTAAATTTGGCCAGTAGATTTACTGAAAAAGATATGTTTGGTCTGGTACAATTTGCAAGGTATATTAATGCGCCAATAGCGCTGAGATATGGTACCTCGGGGCCAAATATTTCTTCATTTTCTTCTCTTGGTCTAAATGGATCTTTACTGGGATCAAGGGATCTGACCACTATTGGTGTACTCAGAGAGTGAGATTTATCCATATAAAATTGTTTTAATACCTTTTGGGTATATGTGGATTGATGGATAAATATTTCATTGTTTACATGATCTACTTGTAATCCCACACAATACTTTGTCTTTCCAAAATCTTTGATCTCAAATTCTTTCTTTAGACATTCAACTGCAATTTGGATCTCTTCTGGCGTTCCAATTAAATTGAGATCATCAACATATATTGCAATAATGACAAAATTTGATCCATTTTTCTTTATAAAGACGCATGGGCATATTGGATCATTAGTATAACCTTCTTTTATTAAAATTCACTCAGACGGTTATACCACATTCGCCCCGATTGTTTAAGTCCATACAATGACTTTTTCAATTTGATCAAATATGATTCCCTTGGGTTTAATTTTGTATGTTTCAGGCATATTGAATCCGTCAGAAACCTTCATATAGATATCAGTCCAAGGAACCATAAAGATATGCACTAACTACGTCTGAAGACGCATATCGAGCTTTTATCGCACTGCTAGGCTTACAAGGTATCTAAAGTTATTCCATCAACAACTTGAGAGTATGTTTCATCAAAATCTACTCCAGGTCTTTGTGAGAATCCTTGAGCTACAAGACGGGCTTTATATCTCACAACTTCATTATGTTCATTTCTTTTTCGTACAAACACCCATTTATATCCAACTGGTTTTATTCCATCCGTTGTTTGCACAATGGGTCCGAAGACCTCTTTTTTGTTTAATGAGTCAAGCTCTGATTGAATCGCATGCTCCCATTTTGGCCAGTCACTTCTTTGCCGACATTCATGAACCGATTTTGGCTCTGGATCCTCATTATCTTCCATTATATCAAGTGCTAAATTGTATGCGAATGCATTATCAATAATTGTCTCTTTGCGGTTCCAACATTTTCTTGAAGTAACATAGTTAATTGAGTTTTCAATAGTCTCATCATGTTCTTCAAGATCGTGCTCTTTTGGAGCAATTATTTCAGTGTTGACTTCCTCATTAGATTGAGGTTTATCAATGTCATTCCTGATATTTTCATGATTATCATCATTAATTCCTCTTTTCTTTCGAGGATGTTTGTCTTTGGAACCGAGTGGTTTACCACGCTTTAAGCGTGTCGCTGATTCATTAGGACTTGCAATGTCCATCAGGGACAATTAATTTAGCTGGAGCATTAGCAGCTTGGATATATGATCGAGTGACCTTGCTTGAGTCACTGAAAGCATCCGGTAACTGATTTGCAATATTTTGCAAATGTATAATGCGTTGAACTTCTAGTTCATACTGCTTTGTACGAGGATCACAAAAATTCAATGGGATTTTCCAATTAATATCCCTTTTCGGTTCATTTTTGTCTCTGTCTCCCCCTAATGTTAGAAAATATGATTCGTCAAAATGACAATCTGAAAATCTTGCAGTGAATAAATCACCCATCATAGGTTCAAGATATTTTATAATTGACGGTGATTCATATCCAACATAAATGTCCAATCTACGTTGATGACCCATTTTTGTATGTTTGGGGGGTGGAATAGGAACATAAACAGCACACCCAAAAATACGTAAATGAGATATATTTGGTTCGTGATCAAATACTAATTGCATAGGGGAATAGCCATGATAGCTTGTCGGTCTCATTCTTATGAGTGTTCCTGCATGTAAGATTGCATGCCCCCAAGCTGAAACGGGCAACATAGACCTCATCAGTAATGGTCTAGAAATCAATTGCAATTTTTTAATAAGTGATTCTGCCAGGCCATTTTGTGTATGAACATGAGCAACTGGGTGCTCTACATTAATTCCAATCGACATGCAATAATCATCAAATGCATTCGATGTATATTCACCAGCATTATCCAGACGTATAGTCTTAATTGGATTATCGGGGAATTGTGCCCGTAATTTAATAATTTGGGCAAGCAATCTCGCAAATGCCATATTGCGAGTAGATAATAAACAGACATGTGACCATCTAGTAGATGCATCAATAAGCACCATAAAATATTTAAATGGCCCACACGGTGGGTCTATTGGTCCACATATATCCCCGTGTATTCTTTTCAAATATGTAGGTGATTCAATACCTACTTTAGTTGGCGATGGCCTGGTTATCAATTTTCCCTGAGTGCAGGCAACACAGGTTTAACATATTTGAGTTTAACACTTTTAGACCTTTTAATGAATGGCCATGCGATTTCTCAATTATTTGCCTCATCATTATACTGCCGGGATGCCTAAGGCGATCATGCCATATTTGAAAATCGGTAGTCCTTTAATCTACCGTGAGGTGTGTTTCAACAACACCTAATTTGGCATAATATAATCCAGTAGAGAGTGAGGGTAATCTCTCAATGATGCATTTCTTTTTATCAATGATATTGGTGATCAATAAAAATTCACCATTGGTATCACTCATAGTTTCAATGTGATAACCATTTTTCCGAATGTCATGAAAGCTCAGTAAATTTCTTTGAGCTTTAGTGGCCAACAGTGCATACCGTATCACAATTTTCGTCCCCGCGGGGAGAAATATAATGGCTTTTCCAGAGCCTTCAATTAATTTTGCATTGCCACTTATTGTATTGACATTCATTCTTTCCCTTTTCAAATAAGAGAAATATTTTTCGTGTTTCAATATAGTATGTGTCGTTGCACTGTCAATGAAACACATATTTGCATCATTTTGTTTGGCATCCATTTAATCTTCAAATATAAATAACGCAGTATTAATAAAGGTAGATATAAGTATTACAAAATGCATTACAAAAAGGTAATACGCGATAATTTAAATATTACAAAACATAATGTAAAATGACATAATATGTCTATTATTGGAGGTTTGTTGGATCTACGACAAAATCCGCTATATCAAGATGCGTTGTATCATAATCCAAAAGATCATCATCAGGGTCGTCATCATTATCAACATGATTAGTCTCGACCTCTTTCCCCTTTTTCTGCAGTGAGGCTTGATAAAGATCGGCTAGGTGTTTGGTTGTTCTGCAGGTATTGGCCCAATGGCCTTCAATGCCACACCGATTACAAATGCCGATTTGCCTCTTTTCCTGTTTAGCCTTTTCGGCTATATCCTCATGTTGGGGTTTACTCTGCATCCTGTTAATGTCAAAACTGCGGCGATTGTAAGGGGTATATCAACCGCGTTGACTCTCACAACCGCGACCACGTCCACGGCCTCTACCACGTCCTCGGCCGCGTTCAGAAAATGTCACGTTCGCTTTAGGGAACAGACTGGAACCAGTGGGCCGGGATTGATGATTTTTCATCAATAACTCATTATTTTGCTCAGCTAATAAAAGACATGCAATGAGTTGTGAGTAATTTTCAAAGTTTTTTTCACGATACTGCTATTGCAGCACAACATTCGAAGCATGAAAGGTAGAGAGAGTCTTCTCCAATTTATCATTCTCAGTAACATTTTCTCCGCAGAGTTTCAACGGAGATGTAATCTGATGAATAGCAGACTTGTACTCTGTAACAGTTTTAAAATCCTGCAACCGTAGGTTAAGCCAATCAAGTCGGGCTTTGGAG